GGAGGCTCGGAACGCTAATGGACGCTGATGGAGCTGCCGCAAAGTATGAACGCAGCCTGATTTCTGCCAAACTGCCAAACTTCGCTCTCCGAAACGCTACAAAAATAGAGTTACCCACCAAAATGGCAAATGTTGGAGACTAATTAATTGCATACTTAACTTATGAATGAATGAATGTTATCCATATTTTTCAAGATGGGTTACGCCAATGCTTACCCGAACACCGCAGTAAACAGCTTCCGAGTGTACCTAAACGAATCGGAATACGGTCCTTTTACTGAAAGCTCTTTCACATGGATATGGTGAGTAGTAGCTGCAGGAACCACATATTTGCCTTCTGCTAAGTTCATCTACATTCATAAATTTCTAACAAATTACAGGTCAGCCACTCTTAACATTTACTTTATTGGTTTTATTACTGGAAGTATCATAGCTATTCCTCTTGCTGACCACATTGGTAGAAAATGTGAGTTTGTAATTTCTACGGAATATGTTAGAACAGGAAGTTGAATTGAACCAATAAAACGTTCCCTCTTAGCTGAGGCTCTGGCGCGTTTCCGGCTGCGTTCCTATTTCGCGGCAGCTTCCACCAGCGACGAACAGCGTCCATCAGCGTTCCGAGCGTCCGAAGCGTCAGCGACTGCGTGTAGCCACCGATCTAGCGTCTACCAACGGCTACCAGCGTCCACCAGTGACCACCAGCAGCTGTTAGTAGAGAGTATGGGGCGATAAGAGGGTACCAGCTGTCTGCTATCTCTATGGCCCCACACTCTCCGCTCTTAAACCCTGCTGGACGCTAGCAGGCGCTGGTAGACGCTGGCAGACTGGCCAGATCGATATCGCTGACGCTGCTGCAACGCTCGAAACGCGAGGGTAGACGTTAATGCCTCTCGCTGGCCGAACGCATCCTCAAAGTATTAATGCGGCTTAAATGACCTTCGAGGAGAGGCACGAATACTCGCCGCGTCGTTCAAATCTGTATACTCAGTGTGTCTGCTATGAAATGTTTGCCACGGCGCACAGAAATCTGCGCTCTGGCTAGTTGGCTTGCCTTACAGTAGCCATTTTGCGTCAAATCGTTCAGGCCATGTTTCGAATGCTGCCCGCGCGACACCTTTTGTGACGCATTCAGCGTCGCAGCAATGTGGAGTTCCTTGACGACCCAAACCCGACCGCCGACGAAACTGTAATTGATTCGAAGGCATATATGGCACGCGAAAGTGCTTGTGACGGCCATTCCGAAGACAATGTTTGACTCTTTGGTACAAGTCCAGCACAGCCAGTCTTGGAGTTCTGGAAAAGTTTGACCGCTTGCATGGGATTCGATCCATGACCGGGGGAACAATGGGGATGGTGGCTTCGACTACTGCACAGCCTCTGCCTACTATTTGCAGCGCGGCTAGAAATGCATGGGGAAAAGCGTTTCACATCGTGCTAGTGAAATTTAATCACTAGGGTGCCTTGTATGCGGTAACTCGACCAATTTCGTGGCTGCTGTTCTGTCAACTGCAGCTATTATTTGGCTTATTCCATCGTTATTTATTATTAGCAGAATCATCTTCGCAGTCGGAGCTGGAATTTCAATGAATAGCTTAGTGTTACTACTACAGGTACTTTTGAACTTCGTATTCAACAGAGTCATGCAATGCGACCCCATCACTTACCTCAATCCCTCACACTTTCACGACTTGCAGTTTTTAAGGAGTCGGCCCCGGTATCGTTACGCGGACTTATGTCATTCAATGCCGAAATGGCTTTTGTCGTGACAAACATGCTTGGTGCACTCGCTGGTATGGGCAGCGTGTTAGGAACAAAGCTCGGCTGGCTTGTTGGGTATGTTCGGGAGCATCTTCCTTCTCATAAGTATACATGCTTTGAGAGTTACATAAATTATAGGTTGGCATGTATTCCAGCCATGTTCTCAATTTTGATGGCTCTTTACTTCCATGACTCTCCACGATTCCTTCTTGTAAAGAGGAAGAAAAGAAAAATGGCAGAAGAATCTGTCGAATTTTATCATGGCATTGGTGAGCATTTCTCTTTATCACACAAACAGCATCTCACAAGGAAATCCACGATGAAAGTGAAACAAATCGGGCGTGAATGAACCTTTCATTAAGGCACAGGGTGCTTGGCTCTCATGAAAATTTGTGTGAACATTTGTTTTGACACAGTTATTAGGTCGTTGCAAAAGAAATGCAGGATTTTGCTTGCTTGTATTTCATACTTATTTTATTCCAATAATATGTTACTTTAATATGAAGTGTTATATACTATTC